GTCTTATAAAACGAAGTTTACTTAAAGAAATCGTGATTGATAGGGATGCACTTTAACAAAATGAGTTTTTGACAGACAAATCAGAAGTGACTCACGGGATACTTGGTGAAGTAGAGTTCATGAAAGCCCTTGTCATTCTTCCAGAGTGTGTGCGAGAAACCAGGCGGCATCGGACGTTTCACCAATATTCTCTGCAACGGCCCTCTACTAGAACTAACCTCATCCTCGTAGTCAATAGCTTGTCTATTTCTACTTGAACGGACGGTTTCTGTGTCAAACATCTCTAACTTGTAGCCTGGCACCTCACAGCCGGCGGATCCAATCGGGGGAATAGGCAGCCCAACGTAGTCGGCCAGTTCCCGTGGACGATATTGAGTTGGCTGATTCAGGAACTTGGTCGGTTTTTCGATGGCCCTGCTTGGTGCATATAGTCCCAGGCAAGTTGCAGTCATAGGCCAGCCACTTTCGGATTGCCACCAATTATCAAGAGCTGGTATTCCAGGAGGCAAATGGCTTCTCAGCCAATTCATTGTCTCGGCATCACAATGCTCACCGGCCAAAAAGACTGCGCGTAAGTTCGACAGACCAGCTATCGCACAGAATACAAAAGGTGGGGGAAAGATAGGCGTAACGAGTTAATAAAGCACAGAGAAAAACACATGAGAAAATGAATGAATGCAACAGAGGAAAAATCCGATAACAAAGTATAGAAAAAGAACCAAAGTAAAACATATGTGTAAACTAAAGATGTACAATTTCTAAACGATGTTGGCTTCATAAGAGAAGAGAAAGTAGTTTATCGCGTAAGAAAAACATCTAAGATGTAATCACCCTATTTCGTTTCGTAACTCTACTTAAATATGAAGGATGATAAAGGACTGATAGTAGAATTTTCCTACAATGATATGAGTAAGAATGACGTTTGCATCGAATTTCACATAACCTTGCTTTTCCAAAAGTTGTTCTCATCCATGGCGGACTGCAGTGTAGAGCTCGTATAAGTCTTATCAACAGCCCCAGTGAGAGTCGACTGCGACAGTACAGCATGCGAGCATGAAAGGTCAACCACTCGGCCACATTGTCACGAGTTCCCTTGGGTCACAGGGCAGATGTGAATTTCAAGGAAGGCCAGGCCTTTTCCCATATCACATTCTTCGGTGGGATTGTCGATGAAGCAAATAGGGATGTTGATAAGACCGATGCTAGGTCGAAACTGCAGTTCACTGGTGCCTAGATGAGAACAACTTTGGGGAAATCAAGGCTCTGTAAAATTCAATGGAAACGTCGGCTCTACTCATAATATTGTGGGAAATTTCTACTATCAGTCCTTAGTCACCTTAAACGAAATAGGGTGAATGCATCTCATATAATTGATTAACTTGTAGTTTCCAGACTCTCCTTATATAAAAAAAACGATGAAAAGATAACTGTGAATAAAATGTATCAAATAATAAATAAAATTAATAATGATAAATGCTAAATAAAATATAAATAGATAAATAATAAAATAAATAGTCAATTTAAAACACCATCAGCAAAAAGTTACTGTGCAAGAGGTCCCAAAACAATATGTAGGTGTAGAATGGCAATATTGGTAAGAAAACTGTAGACAGTGATCAATGTATGAAGAAAATGCATACATCTTTTAACGATGGTTTAGTAAGTTGCTTTCAGAGCATCGCCAATTAAAGGATAATCTAGTGAGCATGTTGAGATACTTGTGATTTCGTTTAAACAGGCCATGTATAGCAGGCTTTAATAGGGCGCCTGCAAACAATCGTTCTGTAAACAGAATGAAGCATAATGCGTGACTCCTGCACCCAAGACTTAGTGGGAAATTTAGCTAGCCTCAGTCCATTTTGTGATTTATTAAACTTTGCCTGCTCTCTTACCTTGATCACCTAAATTTTCAAATAGATTTTTAATGCCTATATTTTAAGTAGTTCCAACTATCATCTCAGAGTCGGATTTCCGGATTCGTAAATGCAGTCCAACTATGCGGCTTGTGTGAGCGGATTTACAACCGTAAAACCTTTTTTAAATTGTAAGGGCAAACAAGTCCAAAAACCTACTCGTTTTATTAAAATCACCGTTAAAACCAAAAAGGAGAAATCGTGCAAATTCAACATCTTACTATTATACAAGTCTTGATTGTATTTTGGTGACATTTTATATCAACCCTATTGACATCACGCTTCTGCGACGCGAATAACAGTATTTTATCTTTGTTATCAGTCGGTCGTTTGTTCAGAAACGCCTTGATTACTAATTGAGGCCACATTAGTTTATACAAAAAAAAAAGTAAATTGCAAATTTGTTCTTAGTGGCTCGAAGTTAACTATTACTTCTATCTACTTACTTGGTTTTATTTACTTTCGAGGATAATACCATTGTAAAATCTGTGGTTGCTTGCCCATCAAGACTTTATTGAAGAGCAGCTCATTGGCTTGATCCAGAAGCTAATATCTTCTAACAGGGATGTAACAGAAAAGTAGCTATATCATCAATCTTTCTTATTACGGAAGTTAGCGAAGGTTATTTATTATTGGTAGCTGAAGTGCAGTTTATAAGTGAGTAAATGTAAACGCTTTTGAGGAAGTAAACTAGCCTATTTTATCAAAGATATGAAGACCAAGATGGTGTGGCCTTTTGTGTGGTCGCAGTCTCCTTTCGTTGTATAG